CTTCATAAATTTTATGTAATTACTTATATAAATTTCTTAATAAAGATATGAGCAAGGCCTCACCTTAAAAAAAAAAACATAAAAAAAAATAAATTCTATTTCATTGTTACAATCTGCATAATATACTACATATTATACTACCTACTACATGAATTACAACCCATGATACAATATTTTAATACTACTGCAATTACAACCTATGTTAATACTACTACAAATAGTCATAATTAATTACCTCAATGCAGTAATACTACTAATCCAATCACAACTTGTAGAAGAAATTAGAACTTCTACTAAAATAAATTTTGTGCCAATCAGATTTTTACTAGCAAGATTAATTAACTAATTAAAAGTATACAGTCAATATACATAATAAAATATATTATTTAGCTCTCACTATACTCTTTAGTTATATTAACTAAGTGCAATAACATCTCTTACAAATGAATTATAAATGCCAATGCAATAATATTCAAAACTAAATTATTTTTATAAGTTTGAATTATATCTTTTTATTAAAAAATTGCTACATTCTATATATTTACTATAAAAGCCCACTTTTTTTAAAAATTGTACACTGCCCTGTATAAACCAATTTTGTTCAAATAAGTCTAATATACTATTTTTAATATTAAAGCCTTGCAGCCATCACTAAGTTATAGTTTTCTGATTGATTTAAACAGTATAAAAATCTAGAGTATATACTTATCTTGATGTTTTTGATTCTGATGAACCGTCAAAAAAGGATGATCCTGTAAGATTTCAATAAGATTTTTTGATTCTGTCTAGCTATTTCTTTTCTCATTATTTTTTTTTTCTGATAAATAGTTGGGTACCGCGAAGGTTGATCTTACCGATGTATTCACTAAAGAAGTTGTTGAGAAGACAGAACAATTAGTATCATCATCTATTCTTGGTCTGGCTTTGTCTAAACAAGGTTCAATCACTTTCAGGTTGACATTTACTAAAAAATAGAGTTTCGTAATTGTCTAGTTCTTTTATGTAAAAAGTTCAGAATCTTGTATAAATGTTATATATTATTACGATTGTATGATTCTATATAGTATATATATATATATATATATATATATATATTTATATAGTATTTCGAGAACTTTATCATTAATAAATATATATATTCATACGTCGTCATTCATTCTGTTGCTGAGGATTTTGAATTTTGGCTGAACGAAAGTATAATTATTAAATCATAGTTACATAAATAAAAAAAAACTTTGAACAGTTCGGAAAACCAAATAAACATACCAAAAGCCTAAACGAATTGTTGATAGCAAATGTGTTGGCAAATGAAGCATTGTTACAGTAACGC